ACCTACGTGTAGCCAGGACCAAAAGGACCTAAGTAGCATAGACCAAAAAAGTGGCGTCCGGTATGCGGACGCCAAAAGCAGGTGGACGCCAGATTAAATGCACTTTTGCCTTCATGGGACGTCCAATCGATTGCGGGATGTAAATATATATATATATATATATATACCCTGTCATCATCCCTATTAAATCCAGATAGGACAATCCTCGAATTCCCAATTCCCAAAAGGCCGGTAACGCACTTGTAACGCCTGTAGTGTTTCAGGCGTCCATGGGTGACGTTGATTGCTTACCATCAGGTGATCCGTCTGCTCGTTTACCGGCTTATCCCATTAAAAAAGGTCGGTTGGAACCGACAGTTATTCAGTGACTGCTATAAATATGAATTATATTATTATCTTATACTATTATAACATAATTCTGAAGAGCTTGTTTGTTTGAACGCGGTAATCTCCGAAACTACTAGTTCGAATTGAATAATTATTTTTTTGTTGTATATCCTATTTATCGAGGAACGCTATAGGCTATAAAGCATCACGCTGCGATTAATAAGAGCTGAGCAGAGCGGGTAAAACCGCGCAGAAGTAGCTTATCTATAATAATATATTTTACTTACATATTTCCATTTCTTTTTTCAGGTTACGAAGAAATATACACAATATCGCAACTATCGCCAAAATCAGCGACAGTCGACAGACTACCCCAAGACACAGTCTTGCAGACCAGTCTCCCAGAGAACGTAGCAGTAAGAATAGAACCCAGCATCAAAAATGATGAAGAAGAACCACCTCTGGTCATCCACGAAGACCTGGAACAGCACGTTATAGTCGCTAGGTCTGCAGACCCTGTAAGAGAATCTAGATCAATAAACATAGATGAGATTCCGAGCTCAAATAATGAAATTGACAATCATTTAGAGATACACAATAAGAGAAAATACTATGACATCCATCCGACGAAGACTACGGGGTATTTGAGGAGTGAAGATGACGTCATACTGTCTTCGGAAGGTTTCGGAGATAGGCTGGAGTTTAAGTTTCCGGGGGAAGGGAAGAGGGTCCCAAAAGCGCGCGCACTGGCGCCTATGGGGCCCAGAATACGGCCTACTGCAGTGCAGCCGATTTTTGCGACAGCTACCCCTAGAAAAGACGAACCGAGACAGAATACTGAGATTCAGAATATCATAACTGGTCTCGTCAAGTTACTGAATGGTAATGTTAACGTGCAAGCTAATTCTCAGCTTTTAAATGGAAGACCAGGTCGTCCTATGGCGTCTAGGATCAATAATAGAGGACCTCCAAAGATATCTGACGTTCCACCACTGCCAGATTTCGATCCACCTATCTCTCCACCTCCTCATCACTTCCATCCTACTAAGACACCTCCTCCATATCCATTTGACAGGCCACCTGTGTACGTGAACCTACCAGAACAGATTGTTCCTCCGTTGAACAGACCAGGTTTCCACAGACCGATGCCTCCTTGGCAAAGGCCAAGACCAAGGCCTCCAAATAGAAGACCAAATCCTGGCCTACCGATGTACAAACCCATGCCTCCACTACCAAATATACCAGATATACCTGATGTGGAAGAGAAGCCAGATGTTGTAGTTAGTGAGAATGAGACAACTCACTCTGAGAATACGTTGCACCATGAAGAAGCTGAAGTTACAGTTGCAGCTGAAAACACAACTGAAACAGAACCGATTAAAGAAGAAAATAGTGACAATGAAACTACAACTGCAGCTGAAACAACTTCATCATCAACTACAACGACTACAACGACAACAACTACTACAACAACTGAGCCCCCACCACCAGAAACCACGACCACAGAAAAAACCACGACTACAGAAAGAACCACGACCACAGAAAAAACTACAACAACCGAAAAACCGACAACCACAACTGAGAAAAAGATAGAAAAACCCAAACAAGATAAGAAAAAAGACTCAATATTTGGCGAAAAAGAAAAACCAAAAGATAAAACTAAAATAGATGATAGACTTAATAAGACTACTCCAAAAGATGATCTATTGGAACAGGCTATTAAAATAATAGAGCCTTCTTTAATAGAAATCCCGTCTACTTCATCTACTGTGTCTGCTACACCTACTGACGGTCTTCTTAGTCACACTCCCTCAGTCAGCGTGCCGTCATCGTCATCTTCATCGGCTCCATCATCAGTAGATGTGATAGAGACGTCGTCGATTAATGCTCAACCGTTGCCATGTAAGTAGTGTTTGATCTTCAATGATTATGCTTTTAAAGATTGAACTGTGGACTTTGTCCATGTTCTGAAGCGACTTTTACTAAAGAACTCATTGCAGTTGTTCTTCCTTAAAAAACAATATAGTAGATGCCTAATAGTATTTTAATGTCCGTCAGGTAGATTATTTTAAATCATTAGACACGTATTTTTTATTTTCTTACAGAAACGAATACTTTCGGCGATATATTGATTTTAAATGTCGCGTGACGTCACTTCTATGTACATTTTATACGTAGAAATGACGTTTTAGCCCCCGCTCCTAAACTTTGATTCGTTTTATCCAAGTATTGTTTTATTATACGACAAAATAAAGATAAAGAGATAAAGATAAAGATAAAGATATATTTATTTAGTAAAACATGAGTAATTACAATGAAGGTGTTTTTTGGTTAGTACAGAGTCTACATGTTTTGCCATTGATGGCGTACTAAATCAATTACTTTAGGCAGATAATACCAATCTACAATCAATAATTATAGAAAATCAAATGTCAAAGTTTGAATGAAAAAAAAAATTTATAATGTAAATGAATAACAATAAAAATAATAATTTAAAAATCACAAGTCAAACAGTTTAAATTATGTCAATTGGTGAACAAAATATGTCAAAATTATAAACAAGATGTCATTATTATAGATATTATAGATAATAAGATAATAAACAATATATCCACATTCAGACTAAATTAAATTATACTTACAAAAAAAGGTAATAATTATAAAGAAATAATACAAATAAATTGAACTCACAATCAATGCAAAGTATCATTTATAAATTCATCTACGCTGTAGTAACATTTTTCAAGTAATAGCATCTGAAGAGATTGTTTAAATTTATGTATCGGTAAACATTTAATGGTATCTGGTATTTTATTGAAAATAATTGGTGCAATACCAAGGACACTCTTTTTTAGTAGGGCAGTTTTACATTTATATGTACATAATAAATTTTCGTATTGTGCACGAATAGGGGTCCTCTTAACAGTTGAGAATTTTTGAAACAAATGTTGATTTGTTTTAACAAATATCGCCACCTCTAATATGTACATACATGGTAAAGAAAGTATTTTAAACTTTTTAAAGTATGGAATGCAGCTATCCGCTATAAAAAAATACGTGTCTAATATTTTTTCATTACCTAACTTACGGACTAATTATATTTTTAATTTTCATACCCTGTCATCATCCCGAGGACTTAACAGCACATCCTGTTTCGCCATCTATTATGTTATTGGTCCTCTCGGAAAAGCGCCTGTTCCAAATAACTATGACGTAGATATGCTAAACCTACTGATGGTTTTTAAATAGAAAGTCGAATATACTTTTCTAACCTTTAATTAGTGAACGAATCCAAGACTTAATGTTGAACTTTATATTTTACTCTACAATAAATTGACGTGGGGCTTCAGCTTTAAACCCGGGGATAACCTAACATCATATCTTTTATCTCCAAAGAGGTAGGCAAAGGTTCATCACGGCACTTAATGCCACTGTATAATGTGACACCCACTTTTCACTATTTATGTTATGAGTCCTATGTAATAGGGGGTGAGCCTATTGCTAGAAATCGGGCACAATTCCAGACTTTATGCTACTACTGAGAATTTTTTTAAAACTCAGTAATATTTTGCCTGGTCCGAGTTTTGAATCCGATACCCAACAGTCGCACTTGCGACCACTTGACCAACGAGGCAGTCACACGAACAATAATAATAATAATAAATACCAATTATAATCCAATTTACTTTTCTAGCATCCCAAGGGACAATTCCCTACCACCCGTACCGTCCACGGCCCGGTATAGTCCTGGACGACACAGACTTCAAGCCCCACGGCTCCCGCTACAGACCTCAAGCTGAAGTATCCGTCATCACGGCGCCGGAGACCAGACCTCCAGGATATGGGGAGATCTTTGATGTGACGGTGTCTGCTATACAGGGGTTGGGCGAAAAGGGTGAGGCTTCAGGTGAGGTTCAATTTATTTATCTACTAGCGACCCGCCCCGGCTTCGCACGGGTGCAATATGCATGTATTATACATATAAACCTTCCTCTTGAATCACTCTATCTATTAAAAAACCGCATCAAAATCCGTTGCGTAGTTTCAAAGATTCAATCATACAAAGGGACATAGGGACATAGAAAGCGACTTTGTTTTATACTAAGTAGTGATGATACATAGATACAATGAAATCGTAGGAAAGTGAAAACTATATATCGAATATTTTTTAAAAGAATGCTTTGGATGTGGTCTACGGTCGATACCGAAACCAAAAATATGGTTTTTAGAATATTTATCTGTCTGTTTGTATGTCTGAGGTGAACTCAAAAAGTGCTGCATAGATTTCTTTAAAATTTTGCATGAATATTACTAATAGTTCGGGTCAACAAATAGGCTACATATTATCATGCTATCAACTACGGGGGAGGAGCTGTGAATCACTATGTTTTATATTACGAACTTTAAAGAAAAGAATATACTCTTTAATAAACTCGCAACGCATTTGTAACACCTCTAGTGTTTCGGGTGTCCATGAGTGGCGTTGCTTACCATCAGGTGATCCGTCTGCTTGTTTACCCTCGATTGCATAAAAATATACTAACGTTAACGCCCCGTGAGAGACCACTGCTGCACTGTGATGACCCTTCTTTACGAATGAGGTTTGCCATGATCTCTAAGTCTGCCAGGCGGGTTGGAGGAGCCATCAGACCACCAAAAATGTGGCCCAATAGGGCTGATGCCGATACGGAGTCGCGGAAGACTTAACGGGTTACCGGGGCTACGGCTCGAAGTGCAGGAGTAGGAACGGGGTGGTTTTTAGTCAGTAAGAGTCTGACACTCACTCTCGCCCCACCCGGGTGAGAGAAGTCATTGGATGACTTTCCACCCTCGTTGTTGAGTTAATGGCCTACATCTAAAATTAGAAAATCTATTCCTAAGAAGTTTTGCCAAAATTAATGTACTCATATTAAGCGTTGTTGCTCATTCCACTAACGTCGAAATTCATTATTCCAGTCCACATCGAAAATGTGAACTTATCAGGCCACGAGCACGATGACATCATAGTCTCACCATCTGGGGAGCAAGGGTTCGTCTCCATCGACGGCAAGAGGACGTATCTGAACCTGTTCGATACTTCCACTGCCGCGCCTACCATCAGACCTACTAGGGTGCAGAGCATGCCTCAATCTGGTGAGTATCAAAATGAAGAAGTTTTAGTCATTATAAATTATTGAAATCGTTAATTTTTATAAAGATTCTAACAATAATGATACTTAGATATAACGAAGCAAAGTTTTGGAGTGGGGGCTAAAACGTCATTTCTACATATATAATGAACATAGAAGTGACGTCACGCGACATATCAAATCAATATAACTTCGAAACTATTCATAAAATAACAGAACATCACGCCTTTTTACCCCCGAAGGGGTAGGCAGAGGTGCGCATTTCGGCACTTAATGCCACTGTACAATGTAACACCCACTTTTCACTATTTATGTTATGAGTCCCATGTAATAGAGGGTGAGTCTATTGCCATATACCGGGCACATTTCCAGTAATACTTTGCTCGACATTTTGATTTCTACTCTCTCCGTAGATAAGCGCTAAAGTGGGGTTTGGCTAAAGGCACTGATGGCATTGAGATCTTCATCTGTTTGCCCAACGATACTCCTAGCTTGAAAATCGCATTTACGACTCTCCAACCAACGAAACAGTTCTAAAAAGTATTTTAACAATGCATCTAACCTTTATTATGTTCCATTTTTTCCAGTATCACCCCTCCCACCTCCTCCCCTAGCTCCCACCCTCGGCACAGGAGAAGCTATACCAGCAGATGACATCCCCCTACCTCAGCAGCCAGTCAGGAGACCAACTCATCATCAGCACCAGCATACACAGCTACATAGGCCGCAGCAAGGGTTTAGGAGGCCACAGCCTACTGTCAGGTATGGACAAGACTTTGAAGGTGTTTTGTGCCTTAAAAAGGGTGAATATATGCCATTAAGTTGACGGCACGGTTGGTGAGGTAGCTGGACAAATGGCTGCCGCGCAACGTGCCACGGGTTCGATTCCCGCACGGAGCAACTCTTTGTGTGATCCACAGATTGTTGTTCCGGGTCTGGGTGTATGTGAACTTGTATGTTTGTAAACGCAGTCACGATACGTGGGGCAACGTTTTATAAAAATAAGTCAGAGTTTTTCATCAAAGAAGGGTCGGCAGAGGTGTACAATGTACAAATATTGAATGTAGTCACTATAACTGCTAAGTAATGGTCAAATTCAAATCGCTGCTAACGTCAGGCACCGGTGACTAACGTGGCACTATGAGGGTTAAGCAGGCGTTTTTGAAACGTCGAAATTTAAATGACCATTAATGAAGCCTCCGGTAACCTCACTCACGCAACGGAACACAACGCAAGCGTTGCTTCACGTCGGTCTTCTGCTCGGCCGTGGTATCGCTCCGGTTCAGCCGGCCCAGCGGTGCCGAAGCATGGCTCTCCCGTACTTAAAAACTTCCTTATTTTTATATTTCATGAGATCTTGAATATATAAGTACCTACTAATAATGAAGAAATTTATGTTGCTTACAAATGCATTATATTCATAATAAAAAGTGTTTGGTAACTAAAAATCGCGGGTTACTCACGTGAATATACTGAGAAAAGTCGCGCAGCCTACGGGTACGCGAAATTGCCGCGACCGCGCACGCTGCTCATGAGGAAGAACCCTTTAACCTCTGTGGTTCCCGAGCGTACGGCGCGTCGTAAAGAGCCATCAGACCACCACAGATGGGGCCCAATAGGGCCGATGCCAATTCGGAGTCGCGGAGAACCTAACGGGTTACCGGGGCTCCGGCTCAAAGAGCAGGAGTAGGAACGGGGTGGTTTTAAGTCAGTAAGAGTCTGACACTCCGTCCCGCCTCACCCGGGCGGGAGTAGTCATTCGATGATTTTCGCCCCTTAAAAAAACCTCTGTGGTTCGAAACTAGTAAAACTTTTCTCAGATATTCACGTGAGTAACCCGCGATTGTTAGTTAATTTAGTATGTCTCACGATAATTATTATGAAAATTGTTTGTTTCAGAATCGACACTTGTATCGTTGGCGATGACTCCACGTGTGATCAAACGCAGAATGAAAAATGCAGAACTGAAGCTGGTCTGTTACCTATCATCTTCTCCCTTATAGCTTTAACTGAAACTTCTAGTCGAAGCATAGCTCTCCCACATTTGAAAAGTGGGTGAAGTTAATTGATGGTTTCCTACTTTCAAAATGAAAAATTCTGGATTCTGGTCGCTTCCAACATCGCGATGTGTTGTCTAAGTCATTGGGGAAGACTGTGTGGCTGATACGTGACTGATTACATGATGATATTTTGATGATTCCAGGTATATCCAGCTGCCAGTGTCGTCCTGGCTACGCTCGGCGAATACATAGGGATCCCTGTAGACGAGTCGTGGCGTTGCTCCTCAACCTGAGGGTCGACAGGCTTTATGAGAGGAAGGTGAGAAAGTACCCAGTCTAAGGAGTTCTTTATGGCATAAGCCGGTAAACGAGCAGACAGATCACCTGATGGTAAGCAATCGGCGTCGCCCATGGACACACTTAACATCAGAGGAGTGCTTTGCCGGCTTTTTAGCGGTTACAGATTTTTAGAGGATTCGAGACCTTTTGGAGGATTTGAGATTCTGGGACTAGGGAAAATGGAGACGGGAGGAATCGGGCTTCTGGTAACTGCACTCATAATGGCGAACCACAACGCAAGCGTTGTTTCACGTCGGTTTTCTGCTCGGTCGTCGCGTCACTCCGTGCCACCTATTTTTGGTAGCTTAAAACTAATGAAATAATTATGATTTTAACGTATTATTTGTATATTTCCAGGTGGCCTGGGACGCTAAACTGGCGGATAAGGACTCAGACCCGTACCAGCAACTGAGCTACGAAGCCGTTCGAGCTGTAAGTTATTCACATTTCATAATAGGTCATTTGAAAGAAGAAGCATTTATTTGGCACATGGCACACAAACAAGGATTATGAAAAATAAAAAAATAACTACATATACTTACACAAATATAAAAGCATACATAAAAGCATAAAGAAAATAACAAAAATTG